ATTAACCTAAACCTCAACAAAAATTTTGAGAAAAGGCCTGCAACCACTGAGCTTGAGCTTTTTGGTTCAGGAGGCCTATTGTGATCTGGATCATTCCTCATGCATGGTCTCACACATCACCTGAGAAGGTGAATGAGCATTGCAATAAAGATGTGAGTTTGCACATGTTTCAGAAAAATGATGTCCTATGAACAGGTTTTAGATAAAAGCTACACATATTTCTGAAATATATGTTTATTTACAATAATCAACATATGTAACTATTAATATGGTAATATATTAATATTACTATAGATAATATTTATTTTTCTACAGTATTTATTTTTTTAAAATGCCCTAAGACGACCAGGAAGCTATGAATTGTCAGCAAAGAAGACTTTCCTTTATATACCAAAATAATTCTAAAGTAAATTTTAATAGTCTCTGATAAAAATTCCCAGTGCTCTTCCATGCCACCACTTTCTCTCACTGATCATGTCAGTGTTAATGTCACCCCCTTCTCTAGAAACAGAAGCAGTGCTAACTCTGACAACTCCTGGGCACCATCTGAACACCTTTAGTTGGGTTGTTTCCATTAATTATTTAGATTTTGAATATCTGTTATTGAAAAAATTAATATATTTGTATACATAATTCACTTTTGATAATTAAACTGAAGCTCTGGATTACTGTCGGCTCCTTTGGGGTCTTACTCTTTATACTATATCTTCAATTTTAGAAGAACATTGATTTTTAAAACATAGCTCATGAAGAAATAGTGGACAAGCTTCTTTTCACATTCATGGTAGAACTCAACCTAATTTTTTAAAATGTTAAATGAAAATAGCATGCACCTTAGTGTAAAAGTGATGCAATAGTAATTTTCTACATCATTTTTATATAACTCTATTATAATCTATTTACTCAACCAAAGTTTTTATTAAATTTATGTTTTATTTTTAAAGCTTTTTTAAAAATAAAACGTAACAATATTTATATTAAAACATTCAATTTTTAAATTAGTATTCTCTAAATGACTTCAGATATATTATCAACAAAATAAAATCAACGAATTTTATTAAACAAAAAATCACATGCCTATCACTGTTCTGAGTTCACTGGGGAATGTAAAAAATAAAAAAAAGAGATCAAGCCTTTGTCCCT